ATCCATACCAAACACCAAGGACATCTAAACATTTTGTATAAAAAAATGCGTAGTGCTTGCATATGACTTATACACCCCTTCCTACATGTTTTAATTCATCTCTCAATTACTTATATCTAACACAATGCAAATGCTATATATAAATATTTTATTGTATTATCTTAAAGTAATGACAAGCAAAACAAGTCTGTACATGTTTAGTATATACCCAGTTTTCTTCTAAAGAAAATTCAACTTCAGGTTGTTGAACTGTAGGCATTTCTATCCAGTCAGAGTTTTTGGTTTTTTTTTTTTTTTTTTTGGTCTTTTTGAGACAGGGTTTCCTTGTAGCCCCAGCTGTCCTGGAACTCACTATGTAGAGTCGTTTTAAGCATAAAAGCCAAAACCTATTTGTCCTCAGACAAAATGAATTTACAAAAAATATTGTGCTGGGGCTGGAGAGATGACTCAGTGGTCAAGAGTACTGACTGCTCTTGCAAAGGGTCTAGGTTCAGTTCTCAGCACCTACATGGTGGCTAACAACCATTGGTAACTCCAGTTCCAGGGAATTTGATGTCGTCCTCTGACCTTCACAGGCACTGCAGACATGTAGTGGACTTACATACATTCAGGTAATACACTCATACACAAAAAATAAAAATAATGAAATATTTTTTAAATACTGTGGTTTAGGACACAATGATAATTATAATGAAAACACAGCAATGTATTTTAAAAATGTATTAGTAGATAGTAAGGAAAACACATTTCATCTGACTAGAAGATATCCACTTTCCCTTGGCAAGAGGTACCACATTCCCCATAGGCTGGGTGGCGCCAACAGATTTTAGCAAAATTCACTGGAGGAAGAAAATGCCAGGTTGACAATCTTTGTTTTCCCTGAGAGATGCTACTTTGTAAAGTTAGCCTGTGGACAGCAGCCATCCTCGAGGTCTTTCAAAATGCTACAGAATACCCAAGAGGCATGACACTGGAAAGATTATCAACCATGTTTGCCTGTTGGCTTGACACAGAAAATTATAGTTGGGGACAAAGATAGCATTTCCTTTTATACATACTAAATGTATATATATAATATGGCAAGTGTTTTATCATATGCTACAGCCAGAATATATAAAACAACCCTCCTGTGAAAGAAAAAAATCATGGAAATCCAAGGAGGTGGGTGTTGAAAATTAGAAAAAGTAGTTGTATGGTGTGCATATGTGTTAGAGTGAGGCTTTTGTGCTGGCTTTCAGTTTGGCTCTCTTGAATATTCGCTGGTTCACGAGAAGTGGTTCAGGAAACTGCTGAAAGATCATTTAACTACAAAAAGGAATAGACTCTCTGGGATCTGAAAGGATGAGTACTTGAAGAAGCTCTAGTCGGCAGGGGCTCATGTTGAGCAGTGTGCAGTCATTTGTGGGAGTGTTCCAGACACCTCGCCTTCTCTCTAGCCAGGGCTGTTGAACCCCTTTTTCATAGTGGGCAGTGCAGGATGCAGACAGGATGCACAAGAAAGCTGCTGACTCTGTGGTTCCAGGATCCCAAACACAGTTTCTCTGAATGATGTTGTCAGTCAATGCAAGACTGAGTTCAAAAAAATATAAAAGCCAGTGGGTGAGATGAAGCCCACACATCACAAAGTGACATATATATCTACCACTCTATTGTGTCATGGATATAAAACATCCAGCATATCCTTCTTTGTGTATTAAAGGAGTTTGTTGTGTTTCCATGAGTTAATTTTATAAATACAGGACCAGAATTTGCTTTATAATCATAACAGCATAACTGTCATATTAGCAGTGCATATTCATTGAAGAATGCTGTGTACCCTGGTTTCTCTAAGCTCTGTATAAATGTTCTCTCCATGTAACACTATAGTAGACAGGTTTGTTTTACCTCAATTTCCAGATAAGGAAATTGAGAAATTAAAACTCCCAGTAAGGACTAGAAAAAGCCATCATTCAGCAGTGTAGACCCAGACCGATATTTGCTGCTTTCTCTGTGCTAAACTTGTAGTCAAATGCTTGAGGTACTCACCTGGTATCAACACAATATGCCTGGGAGTGTGATGAAGGCTCAGTTTCTCACTGTGGTGTTGTTGAACTCAAATACTCTTAGAATCCAGGGAGGATAGCACTCATATTAGAAATAAAAGCTGCCGGGTAGGCAAAGCTCATGAGCAAGGTAGTCATACTCTGCTGGACTGTTGATTACTTGCAAATAAGCCTGTCTAGACACCAGACACTGCACCTCAGGGTATGGAAGATCCTGGGTAAATGGGGGCAGTTGTAAAAATGATTTTACTGGCTATAGATATGGAAGTGCCAGCCATTCCTTTGTGGAAATTCAGCCCCAGAGGGTGGATTTGCTTTGGCTACACTGGTTTTCAAAATCTGTTGCTTGTTTCTGAGTTCTGATATGTAAATGGTTCTCTAATCTGACTGCATACCTGAAAATCACCTGAGAGCTTTAAAAATCTATATGTGTGGGGGCCCATACCAGACCAATGAAGTCAGGATTTCTGGGAGTGCAGAGACTGCCTGTTTGGATTTTCACACAGCTCCCAGGCAGAGTGAAACTACACTACAACTATAGCCAGGACTGAGTACCTCATATCAGACCTCATCTAGACAAGAGAAAGGTCTTTCAAGGATGATGTTTGAAGTCTCAAGACTGGGATCTAGTTAAAAAAAAGTCTCTAGCAACTGAACCAATTGGTACCCAAGATGGAAGAGAAAGCAAGAAATGTATATGGTAAGATGACTGCCTGTCCGGATGCCCTGTCTCTTAAGGAGACATCTGAACTAGTTTATGTTTTTCAAAATATAGACAGTTGTTGGTATGGGAAACCCATAAAGAACATAAAAAATAATCAGGGAAAACAAGGTTGATGTGTTGACGCAAAGTTATTTCAAAGGAAGGAGTGCATCTTTCTTCCTCTTTGGACCAGAGAATGAGCTTTACTGTAGTGTAGCACACAGAGCCTTTCTTGATAGCAGTCAGTTCCCTGCTAACTTAGGCTCTCCCCTTCTCCAGCTCTACTTTGGGACTCACACCTGCATTTGGGGTTTCCTGAGAAGCCAGCACACATAAATGGTCTAAATTACCAGGTGCCTTCACAATATTTCAACTGTTTTTACATTTTTCTGTATTAAAAAATTTATGACAGCATTTTACCTCAAGCTTACTGTATCCCAAAAAAAGAGATGTCCCTGCAGCAGTTCTTATGGCTACAGTAACAGGGTGTTAACTCCAGACCCAAGGATTGCCCAGTTTTCATTCATCATTCATCAACCCTTCCATCTTTTACAAGGAACATCAGCCCTGAGTGCAGTTGCTGAGAGACCCTCAAATGCTTCCCACCACTCTTGTCCATGGACCTGCTCTCCTGAGTAGTCCTCTACATATTCAGTGAGCACCCCAAACTAGTCCATTCTTGAATATTCTTAAAACCAGAACCAGATCACACTAGGTCTTGTCTAGAAAGCAAGTGAATGGGAGGCCATTAGGAGAATGCCCTCAGCACAGTCATAGGGTCAGGCTTTCTACAGAACCTCAACAAGCAAAAAGCAAGACTGTGACGAAAACCAGAGTTCCATAAAGTGCCCAGTGCAGATGCTTGTCTGGACCTCCGCGGTCTTCTGAAAAAGACCCAAGATTGCCCAGAACCTTTACAGGGTGGCAGCTTCTCATTAAGTCAGACAAGGATGAAAGAGTTAGATGAATTTGGGTTCTAGGACTACCCCAGTGGTGTGGGCTTAGAGGTGGCAACCCCTTGAAGGTGTCCAATCCCTTAACTTCTGTCCAACCAAGCAGGTACTTCTTTCCTTAGTCCTCAACTGATTCGCTAGTGTTAGGCAGGCTTCAGGCCACTACAGGAGGACAGGAGGACAGGATGATCACTGGGAGACAGGACCCTGCAGAGATGCATGTCTGGGAAACCAGCAGCGGTTGGGAGCTAAGAGAGCGAGCCAAGGGTGCCCAGCCCACCTGGCCAACGTGGCCCGGCCTCTGCCAGAGCTCTGGGTGCAGCCGGGTGCAGCGGTGCAGGACACCTACTTCGCCAGGCGTGCGGGGGCGGGCTCGGCGTCTCCGGGAGCCGCCTTCCCATTGGTCCCGGGACACGCCCGCCCCGAGTGAGGGCTTGCAAAGTTTCATTGAAGGTGGAGAACTGCGCGCCTGCCCGGGAGCCTGGGCTGCACGGCTCGGGCGAGGCTGCAAGGCAGGGGCTGGGGACGCGTTGGGCATCTGCACCGCGCGGTGGCTTTCTTGTCTGTCTAAAGTCCAGGCGGTGGCGCGGCGCATGGTGCGCCGGGGTTTCGGTTCCTGTCCACGCTTGCAGGTTCTTCGCAGTGAGGACGGGACTCGCAGCCCCGCGGGCCTGTAGCACAATCCGGCGTGTGGGGGATGATTCTGCGCACCCCGCAGCTCCGGCCCAGCTCTTCCAGGCCCGAAGCTGGGGGGCGCTGAGGCCGAGCGGAGCTGCCGCTCAGCGATCCGCCCGAGCCCGGGGCGGCAGGGCGAGGCTCGGAGAGCGCCGGGCAGCCTCGAGCGTCCCAGGAGCGGTGCAGCCTGCGTGGGCATCTGGGACCAGACACGCTGGCTTTGGAGTTCTGCTAGAAACTCCCGGTGGTCCCAGGACGCTGCTGCTGCGCCAGAGCCCGGCAGGGGACAGCTACTTTCCTGGTCCCCTCTTCTAGCCGCATCCATTCCAGGACCTTCCCAAAGTATCTGTCCATCCGCTGCTGCCCAGGAGACCCTAGAAGCATCCGCCGCGGGATTCCGTTTACCCACTTGATGGGCGGCCCCCAGGGGCTGCGGCGCCTGGCTAGGTTGTTGCAGAGAGCCGAGTGAGCCGCGGCCCGGAGCTGGTCCAGCGCGCCCTCGGGGCGGAGAGCGCCGCGCCCTCCGAGGCCATGCCAGCGAGGCTGCGAGCCGTCGGCCGCATGAGGCCCTAGACGATCATGGGCCTGGCGTCCCAGCTCTAGGGACCTTCCAATCTCGACCCTCTGCTCCGACCTCTAGGACCCAAGACGCGATGGCCTCGGAAGTGGTGTGCGGGCTGGTCTTCAGACTGCTGCTCCCCATCTGCCTGGCAGTAGGTGAGTCTGGTGGGTTTATGGAAGTGACTAGGGAAGACCAAGGGCCGCCTGGACCGGGGCTTCCTAGCAACTTTAGGGGGTCCGGAGCTCCCAGATTCCGTTTCAGTAGCCGGCGGCGCGGTCCGAAGGGCAGGGGCATCCGAGGCGCGCTGTGCTGGGTGTCACATCACAGCCTGGCGCTCTAACTTCAGAATCTAGGGCGCATGATCTGGGTCTATCTTATGGGACAGATGCAGCATCCCACTGACAGGGATTGGCATTCTCGGGGGGCTGTTCTGTTAAATCTAGTCTCTCCTGAACTTTCTCTAGTGTCTTTGTGCCCAAAGGACACTAGTCGCGGGGCTGCAAGGTGTTTGTAGAACCCCTTGGTAAGTACAATACAGACTCCTCTAGCATCCTTCTCCTTCCCCAGGGTCCCCAGACAGCACATTGTGCAACCAAAAGGTTGTCAGGCCATCTCTCCTCCAGTCTGTACTCCAGCAACCGAGGAGGAAGAAGTGAAGGATTCCAATAGCCATAAAAATAAAAGACCAGGCACAGGAAACTGCCTTGATGATTCTTTATTTTACCTCCACAAAAGCCTCCACTTACCCTGAAAAGTGCAGGATGCTGAGGTTGAAGACCGACCAGTTCTAGTCCCGCCCTCTTGGCACCAACCCTTTCCAGATATTTAAAGGATTAGAAAGTAGGGTTGGAACTCCCTGGAGCAGACTGAGTTAAGAAAGGCCCGTGGAGAGACTCAGTGATGTTCCAAGGAGCGCTTCCAGTTACCAGGCCTGGCAGGGAGTTGAAGTAGGTGACAGGGTTGGCAGGTCTAAAGACTACAGCCTCAGCAGTGCTAGGAGGGCAGGAGTCTAAGTTTCTACACAGTGAGAGTCAATCCTAAGAATGATGAATCCTCAGTGCCTGACTTTCCCTCTACCCCGACCAGAACCAGAAAGTAGAACACTTTTTACCAAGCAGTTGTGTTTGCAAATACATTCATGTCTTCCCACAAAAGGACACTTTTTTCCTCTTGGCAGAGCCAGATGACTCTGTGATAAATGTGTTGTTCGAGTAATTGAAAGGAAGTTCTAGTGTTTAAAGTAGGCAGGAATAAATACTTTAGTGAGGTACTCCTCTGCAAGGCCTCAGAGCAAGAAACCGCCATGGAAAAATGGGGCTCTTCCAGAAGAGTTATCTCTGTCATATGAGGGTCTGCCCTTGGAGGGCGGCAGGGAAGGCTGATGGTGTTGGGGAAGGCTGGTGTTGACCGAGATGGTGAAGATGGTGAAATTCCAGTTTCCAAACAGAACCTCTTGGCTGAAATCTTTGTTAGTGTGCAGGAGGAGCACTGTTTCCACAAAACCAGTGTGAAGTGCTCCCGTATCAGTTTGGATAGCCACTTTATAAAGTTTCTTTGGGTGCTTGGCATGTAAGTAATGTGTTCCTCAGTCATCTCTCTTTGAAGCACCTGACACCTTTCCTGGCACATTTCAGATTTGGATTTGTGGACTAGAAGCTGGTTCCCAGTTCGCAGGAAGATTTTAAATGTTGGAGGAGGGGCCCTTGGGTTGGAAGCTGCTCTCCACTGCTCCCTCAGCCTTTCCACCTCTTGCACTTCTCTAGGCCCATCCCTCTTCCCTCACTGGCCTTGGTAGTCTCAACCCTCTCCTGGGGCAGCAGCTTGCAGTGACTGTTGGAAGAGTTAGGAAGGTGGCCACCCACAACCAGCTCTGTCCATTGTGAACTGACAGCAAAGAATGGTCCCTTGATTGCCTGTCATCCTGTTTTGAGTTTTGGCTTCTGCAGTACTCAGCTCGACCTCCTCCTCAAGCCACTGGGACTGGGCAGTCATTCCTACTAAGCTTTGGTGATGCACTTCTAGAGTCCTTTAGTGAGCTCATTGCACTCAGTCCTCTAGAGGAGAGTGCTGTAGTCCCAAGGCTCCAGGGGAACTGGAGAAAAGCAAGAATATCACCCCAAGGCTGTTGACCCAGCACCATCATGCCCCCACTTCTTCCACAGCCTTTCTCTGCACACTGTCCACCGCTCACAAGCTGGGGCCCAAGGCTGACTAGAGCTCAGGATGCAGGTGGAGTCTGTACTAAGGCCAGGATTTTCTTGGGAGGAGCTGGACTTGCAGGGGCTCCAGGATAGTAGCCCCCACTCTACTCTGCTTCCTTGCTGTTTCCTACACAGCTGAGCCAGCTCAGGGGACTTGGGGGGCCACCTCCCCTGTTCGGTTTCCTCTACACCGCCACACTTCTGTGGGTCCAAGGAGGTATGGGAGCATGTTAACATCTATGTTAGCATATAAGAGTGTGTAAGAGTGTATGTTTGTGTGTAAGTACATGAGTGTGACATGGTATGAATGCATGTTAGGGTAGAGGGTAGTAGAGCTTAGCCTAGAGCCTGTGACTTCTGCCAGCCTCCCAAAAGACTGACCTAGGGGAAAGGGAGTAGGAGGAGTCCCTGGCTGGACAGAGAAGAGCTCCTGGGGTCCACCCTGTTAGTGTCTGATGTTAGTCCCTGGGCTGCTGCTTGGAAAAGATGGTACAGGTCCTCAGATGCATGTGCCTAGAACCACTGTACTCAAGTGGGCTGGGTAGGTGGCACCTTATTTGAGCACTAGATTCTCTTCTAGAGGAAGTGGAGATTTTCAAGGTTATTGAGGATTTTTAGGTCTGCCTACTCCCAAGGTGCCACTAAATCAAATATTCAGGCTTCCCTAATATCCTGGGCATGGGGAGTGCAATGATGTCTTGCCATTAGAATCGATTTTGCATTTTAGTCCTCTATTTTTATACCCAAGCAAGACGGGCTTCAAAGCCCAGCCTTTGTAGAAATTTATATACATTTCTTTTGAAGCTCTTTCTCTCACAGGACATTGAAATTTTCCTGCGAGGTGCCCTACCCTTTTCAGCTAATGACTGATATTAACAATTAACTAGCTTTGCATCTAACCTGATGCTTAAGATTTTTTAAAAAAAATTTTCTCTGTACAAGATATTAAAAGGAAAGTGATAAGTGATATTAGGTACCATCTATTCAGGTGTTATGTGACTCGAGTGTTAAAAACAAAACAAGTCATAATAGAATATGTTGTTTACCTTTCACAATGAACATCTGCTGACAGATGTGACTATCTCCATAGACATGGACACTTCAAATTATCTCCAGAATAATTATTAACTACTTGGTAGCCATTTTTATTTCTTTCACATTCATAACATGAAAAAGAACAACAAAATTTATATAATATGATGCAATCTTGAGTAGTTATACTAATAACTGATCACTGTTGAATACTTTATGTATATTTTCTTTTAATATGATTCTGATTTCCAACTCGTGTTTTCTTTTCCTGATGTTGGGGATTGAACATGGGGATTTGCCAATGCTAAGTACTGTTCCACCTACCTGGTTATCTTGAGGCAAATGATTTGAAGCTATCCCAGGATTAGGAAGGGCATTTTTATTCAGATACTTCTGACCCATTTGTTCCATCTTGCCTAGAGTTCTGGATGGATGTCTGAAAGAACTGACTTGCTCACTGTCAGGGGATGTGGGTGGACCTGAGCTTGGACAGTAGTCTTGCTGATCTTTTACAAACTATTTAGCCCCACTAACCCTCCAGTTCATGCTCCCCTTACAGGAAAAGCCAGAGTTTAGAATGAACAGGGCAGACAGAGAATTGAGTAACTTTAGAAAAATAAACCAAGTGACCAACCAACTAGTGTTCTAACAAAAAGTTATATATCTGGGTAATATTGCAAATCTCAACATAGTGTCCAAAACTCCCTTGAGAGGTAATTGATTAAAAACATGGGGCCACTTTTGATACATGGATAGTTATGACTCCCAACATTTCTTTTTATAGCAAAATTTCCCTATTAGCAGATATCATTTTTAAATCATACTGTACACTGTCCAAAAATGATTCATTGAAAAAATTTCAAATAATTTTGGTTTGGGTCGCATCTTTTCAGCCTGCTTGTTAACTGTTCTCAGAAATGAAAGGCTTACACATTTAAAGTTTGATCCTAGAATCAAACATTTCAACCCAGGTGAGCATGAGCATGTGAGCGCTGGAGGCCCCGATTCCGTGTCCCTTATGTCATTTTGTATACTGCTTTGAAGGAAGTGCCTTTACTCAGGCAGAGGCCAGCAGATTGCCTTGGACTTCACCTTTGGGCATGGATGAGTTACCAGTTGGCACTGTCCTTGTAGCCTTCAGTAATAATCCTAGAGTCATTTTTGCTAGTTAGTTCCTCTTTCTTCTTGTAAAATGGAGTCATGATTACTACCTTCTCTGGATGGTTGTAAGACAGTGTGCCTAGGCACCTGTGTAATGCCCGCTATGCTGAGGGTGCTACATTGCATTAATGAAATCAGCAGAGGAGCTGGCCTGCTTACTCAGAATTCCAGACTAACTAGTGACATGGACCATGAGGAGGCAATAGGAGCTTCATGACAACACAACGTAGCACTTTGTAGGTCCAGATCTCAAAGTGAGTGCTTGTGATGGGCAGGATTTTTTTAAATCACCAGGATTTTTCTCACCAGTATAATGCAAAACTTTAGAGATCTTCTGATTAAGTAATATAATCTCCATAGGATTATATTGTTAGCGTTTATTTTTGTCTTTGTGACAGTATGTTCATAGTCTTAGTCAATGTGATTTTATTTTTTAGTGTGACATTTTCCTTTCAGATCCTTGTGCTCCTAACAGTTACCTGTCTGTGAAGTTTCATAGTAGTAATGTGTACAGTATTATAATTTTGCATTAATATTCAAAACTTAGAATAAATAACATAAGCATATCTAGACGCTTAAGAACAATTAATAACAAAACAATGATGCTATGTGTGCCATGTACAATCCAGTATTAAGTTTTGTAAGATTTACAGATTTAAGCTACTGTTTTGAGGATGTGGAATCAAGCAAAGAAAGTAAAGATCTCATTTGGATAGAGGCTAAATAAAAGCTGAGTTAGAAAACCCTTGAAAAGTATTTGG